CACTTGCCGCACAGCGGTAACTTGTGGTTGCTGTGAGGCTGAACACTGTGACACTGATGTATCAAATGCGTTAATGGCTGGTTACCCAATGTGGACAGAGAGTGGGGTGGAGCTCCCCCATTAAAACAAGCTTGGAAGGAGGAGTGGCATCCACTTCCATAATAGTTTGTCTCCGGAAACCCTATGAACCTGGAGAGAGGATGAGAGACACCCAAGCGTCAAGGACTCTCCTTCATAGGGTCTCTATGAGTCGCCTGTGACTCGACAGCACTTAACAACAACAACAACAACAGGTCATTCCTCAGACTAATGAAATAATATTTTCTTGGCATGACATCTATGTATTTCAAAAGCTCTCCAGCAAATCCATGTGCAGGTCAAGTTAAGGACCACTGTTCCTAAGTGAAGGCTGTAACTCGAGTCACAGCTATAAGGTTCTGATTGTCAGTCCTCATTTGAATATTTACCGCTAGTGATAACCTTGTAGGATTTTGATTATGGAAGGTACAGTTTTGTTATACAACTGTTGTAGTGTTTGTTATTCTTTGTTGGTACAAGTAAGAGATTTGGTGGTAATTTTTAAAAAATCAACGAAATTAAACAGAATGAAATGAATCAGTATGTAGATAAATAAAACTTTTACTAAATTTTATTTTGAAAATGTCATTCAATTCAACAAATTGATATGGTACCCAGACACAATGTTAGAAAAGTACAGGGCTGAATAAAATATAACCCTTTCTCTTCAGGTGTTCATGATCTCATGGGAACAGCAGATATAGACAAAAGTATTTCATAATAAAACTGATGAAGAGAACAGAATATAAAATGGGAACAAAAAAACCCCCCACATCAATTCAGAATGGCAGGGCTTAGGGAATCATCATTGATGATTCAATGTCTGAGTTTGACCTTAAAGTACAAGAAGTTACCTAGGAAGAAATTCAGGGAATGGGTAGTTGGGGTAGAGGGAAGTTCTGTATAGGATAAGCCAAGTCTTTTTCTAACCTTCATGGAAAGCCAGAGGATACAGATTAAAGGATGTGTTCCTTTCTCATTTCCTTGCCATGACTCTCATTTTTCAAGTATTTTGCCTCTGGTTTATTAATTCTACCTCCTGGTGCCTCAGCTTATTTCTTCCAGGAAAAGTTTCTCATTAGCATTTCTATGGGGAGCACCTGCTACCCTGTCCTTTCTAACTGATGGCCAGGGGAATGGGGTTGACTGGGAAGGGAATTTTAATGCCCTCCTTATGCCTCATCTCACTCTAATTGAGAATGCTATGTCTAAAATCACCAATAGCTGTCCAATGAAATCTATCTCTAAAGTTAAATATGGTTTAAAAAATAGTACAAGCAAAAAAAAAAAAAAGAAACAAAAATAGCACAAGCTTCTTCATTTTTATACTATCTATGCAAAATTAATGTAATAAGAATTAACCAACTGTATGATTATGAATCATTTCAAAATATACATCAGATATCACTTGAATGCAAAAAGCTCAGGCTAACATGGATAGGTTATAAATTAGATGAAGTCTTAAGAAGGAGGAAATTACTATGTATGTAATTCTGGAAGCTGAATTTATACTATGCATTATAGTGTACAATATACTAAGCTGATAGATTGGAGTATTTTTCTCTTTTAAAGAAAATGACTCACATTAATGCTATGTGACAGATGTCATCCGTAAAGCCCAAGAGATGACTCAAACATTATGGCGTAAATGCATTATGATTTATGTAGGATGGTAGAAAAGAAGGGTTTGTAAAGCAAATTATCATTCAAATGAGTTCAAAATGGCTTCTAAGGCCAAGTAAAACTCGTTTACAGCAGAAATGAGTTCTACTCAAAATCAGGAGATACCCAGAATCATAGTACGAGAAAGAATGTGAGACAACAGGAAAAGAATATAATGTTCCAGATAAAACTTCTATTTTTTCCATGCAGTTTTCCCATTACGGTATGTTTAGTTTATAGAATACCTGACTTCCTTATATTTACTTTCATCCAAAGTACATGTTCCTATTATTGGCTAATTTTTCTTCAGGAACAAAACATAACATTAAGTTTTCTATAAAATGTGTCATGTATTCTAAACTGCCCATTAAAGACAGGAAAGTGTTTTAGCAACTTCTTTTTTTTTTTACTGTTTCCAAACCCTTTATCATACAGAATGACACTGCTACAAAGTCAAATGTGTAATTAACTTTTACAGAAGACTCAAATGATATATATATATTTTTTGGAAGCAGGAGTGGCATCCATTTCCTAAACAACATGCCTCTGGAAATTGTATGACCTTAGATAAATGTCAATAGTTATAGAAAGGCTTCAGGCCTTTTGTTCATAGGGTCGCTATGAGTCGTGCTTGACTCGAAGGCAAACATCAACAACAAAACCAACATATATATATTAAGGTACTCAGATTTTTCTTGAGGGTTATGACTTATAAAAATAATAACCATTCTTACCAACTGTGGATAACCCACTGAATTCTCTTAATTTTCACTATATATATATGTAACTCAAGTTGATATATATATATATGTAACTCAAGTTGTGAATAATTATTTTAAGATGTCATTTTGGGGGAAAATACTATATGGAATGAATGAAGGTACAAAATATTTGGAGTTGAATCTGAAAGATGTGGTCATTCCCTGATTCATAAAATATTTCCAAGTCCTGGCACCTTAGAAACAAAGACAGACTAGGACTACTCAAGGAGGTCTGAGGATCTGGAATCTTTCTTGATTTGAATTGAATGGGAGGGAAAAGAGGTGGCTCCTACCTAGTGGGCAATAAGCTACCACAGGGAGGTGGAAGGAGAAAAGAAAAAGGAAGAGGCCAAGAATCTCTGAATTTGGAATGAACTTAGGGATCTCAGGGAATGAAGAAAGGCCTGTAAACAAGAAAGCCACAGCAGGCTCAGAAAAAGCATCTCAGCTTTGTTTTTCTGTGGCCCTTATTGAAGAAAGGGGGGGCGGGGAAAAGGAATATGTACCCTTTCTTGATCCAGAGCAATTGTGGTCATGATTGCAATATACCAAGAAAGATGCCAAGTGGAAGGCAGAATCCAGTAAGATGGAGAAGGAGTCAATTGATTAACGGTCCCTGGTCTCTGGGAAATGCTTTTCAGGGTTAAAATCCGAAGAGGGAGTTGACTTTTGTCTTACACTAGAGAAGACACCTGTGTATGCTATTTTTTCCCTAAGCATGTGAGGAAATGCTTGCCACATTCATTGGAGAAAAGACATTAATCTGACATGAGGCTACATACAGGGACTTGGCAAAGGACACCAACTGCAGTATTCTACACCACACCCTCTAGCAGGAAGAGAGCACTGATAAGGAATCCCTTATGCTACATTTTGAACATCTCCAGCTCAATTACTCATCATGAACATCTGCCTCCGCAGGGACCCCCAAGTCCCATTTTACATGTTCAGAGTCAACTGTGATCTGTTAGGTAATTGATTTGGGTGGAAATAGATGGACAGAACTGAAAGCTAAGCACTCAGAAATACATATTGGATGGATGAAGGGTGAGAAAGCTGGCTAGAAGGACTGTGGCTGCTGCATAATGAAAATTCTAGTAGGTTGTTGAGAGAGACAAAAAAAAAAGACAGAAACAGAGAGAGGTGTTTCTATGCTTAGAGGTACTCACTACAAGGATGAATTGAGGTGGAGACATTTTGATGATGAGAGAGAAACATATCTGAAGTTCATGAAGGCAAAGGAGAGAGAAAGCAGATGTATTATTAGAAGAAAAGGCTGGAGGCTTGTAGGAAGTAGACGTTAGGAAAATGAGGTATTAGGTGGAAGACAAGACAAATCAAGCCTAAAGAGCTCTCCTCCTGAGCAATCAAATTTAATCCTCAAAATGTCTAGTCCTATGCCTAGCAAACATCGTATTGTTGCTGTGTGGCCTAGAGTGATTTCTGCCCATAGTGCACCTGAACGACAAGGTTTCTGAGGTGCTGTCTTTATAGGAGTTGATCACCACATCTTTTCTCCTGTAGAGCAGCTGGGAGGTTGGAATCATCAACCTTTCCATTAGCTGTTGAGGCTTAACCACTGTTAAGGCGCCTTAGCCTGTATAGCCAGTGCTCTAAAAACATATTACATATTTAATATTAAAGCACCAAATATGCGAACAATACTAAAATATATCTATTATTATAATTATTAATCACATCTTATAGTTGAGAACTGGAGGCCCAGAAAGGTTAATAAATTTGCCAAACGTGCTACAGCTAGTAAGAGACTGAAAAAAGTATGACTTCAAAAGGAATGGTATGGGGAGCTCTGGTGGCCTAGTGGCAAGAAGCTGCACTGCAAGCCCAGAGTTATGAGGTTCAAGTCCACCAGATGCTCTGCTGGAGAAGGAGGGGCAATATCCTCCGGTACCAGTCAGATCTGATTTGACAGTACACACACACACACACACAATAATAAAATTTTTTTTTAAAAAAAAAGGAATGGTACAAAGAGAATGTAAAGCCCTACAGGGTATTAGAAAGGAATGTGGTATACTTAAGTGTTGCCTAGGGACCCAGAGAGGGGGAAAGAAGAGTAAAGGGTCAAGAGAACTGGACTTGGGAGGAGGGGCTTTCGGGAAGGTTTAAGGGCAACGGCCATACCAGTAAAGCGTTGCATCTGTGCTAATGCAGTGGATGAGCTCGGCAGAATTGGGTGGAAATTGTAAAAGATTTACGAGTGGGATCTCAGATGGGGTGGGGTGGAGGACAGGTGGTTATGGTGGTGAAGCGAAAGGCCTTGAGAGGCTGGAATGGACAATAATAGTAACAGTGTTATCCAACAGAAAAAGATAAAAATGGCACAGAAGAGAAGCTGACTTGACGTGGAGCTAGGGAGAGGGTGTGGTCTAGGATGGGCGAGGAGGCAGAATGAGGCCTGAATAAGGCCTGGGCAGTTTGCTGGAGCGGACAAGGGTGACTATAGGCCAGCCGCGTGTGCTGCAGCTTGCACCTCACCTGTAGGAACTGCTCACTGTACTTGTCACCTCCTCGCGGATCTGCCTGTTGAGGGCGTCTGCTGCTGCACGCCCCTTGCCAGCCTCGGAGCCTGGCGTCTGGACCTGGGTCCCTGGCAGCGGAGTCTGCTCATGGCCCAGTCCCTGCCCTTCCGCACGATGCAACATCCAGGCGGGCCCGGCCTTCCTTCGTATGTCGTGATCATCAGGACCTGATCGCTTTCCCGCGGCGGAGAGGCCACTCGCTCCGCCTTCGGTCTCCTCCTGCCCGGGGGCCTCAGCTGCAGCTGGCGAAGACCAGCGCTCCTGGCTCTGCAGCCCGCTCAGTATCCCGGAAGCGCCGGCTTTCCTTCGGATGTCATGGTCGTCGGGGCCTGACGGCTTTCCCGCGGCGGGAAGGCCACCTGCTCCTCCAGGGGTCTCCTCCTTCCCCATGACCTCAGTGGTACCGTGCGCGGGCCAGCGCTCTTGGCTCTGCAGCCCGCTCAGTATCCCGGCAGCGCCGGCTTTCCTTCGGATGTCATGGTCATCTGGGCCTGACG